CCCCCCATTTCTGTTGCCATTTCAAAAAAGAAACTCAAGAAGAAGAAAAAAAGAATTAGCCACAAGTGACCTTTCATTTGTGAACATCCATCTTCCAAAGCATTATTCATGTCTTCACATTCACATTTTCTGCTCTCCTCTCACTGAGGTGTAAAAAAATTCTACTGCGAAACATCTATCATTCAACTTTGGCTAGCAGCCTCGTTTGATAGATCAGACACTTGCACTATCAGGTTTGAATCTAGCAGTAGTAGCAGAACAGCACTTCCAAAGCACAAGCTGTTAACTTGCACAGTTTGAGATATTAAAATGTGATAGTCTGCCTGATTTTGCCAGGGGTCTGAATGTTGGTTTTGCTTTGCTGGATCCTGAGCTGTTGACACAGGGAGAAGCAATCATGCTCTAATAAGTGGCTCCGAAGCTTGATCTCTCTTCCACTTTCACTCACATCGCCCAAAGCGGAACAAAAATACATCATGTATATTCATTCACAAAATCATCAACAATGTTAATATTGGCTTTTGCTGTTTGTACAACCAATTACAGTTTACTTATTGTTTGCCTGAGTGGGTGGAGAAATATGTGAGATCATTTCCAAGTTTCCCACTTTCCAACTATTCCGTCTTTTCATGGAGAACGAGTTGTGCTCAACTAAGAAGCGCAACACAGAATTTCTGTGTACTCCTTTTCCATAGTGAGCAGAGAGTCTTTGAGTACTGCTCTCCAGGGTGCCTCCCCCCCTTGTGCGTTGAGCTCCATTTGAAGTGTTGCAATACCAAAATAGAGCAAACAGCTTGAAATGAAACATGTGGGGATTATTCTTACACGTATTGAGACACCGGTAAATTACACATGAACAAAAGATGAAAATAAAACCCACAGTACCTATATATAGTTTGGCAAAAGTTGGAATTTGCACCACTCTTCTCTCGAGTCCACAATCCAGCGCACTGGGTTTGTCAATTGTTGTTCAAGTTCTGCACTTGTACATTTCAATTTGTAACTAAATAGCATTTGAACAGTTGGTTCTTTACAAATTATTTTGTTGACTTTTGAGTTGTTTTTCTGGTTAAGCAAATGCCCAACAATTCAAGTATAGCACTCTTTTGTCAAATCAAGCTCCAGGATAGCACACATCATGACAAAGGGCCAGCATGAAGTTAATGAGTTATTGATTGTTTACTCCCAGAGATAATCTGCTCTAACATTCTGTAACATCTGTATTAAAACATGAGAAGTCATATTTACATAAATCAGCCCAGAAGCATAGACCAGCACAGCGCCTTGTTCATCTTTGGGTGTAGGTAAGCTATGTGTGTCACATTATTTCTGTCTGTACAATCATAATGTTTTGCATACTTTGATGTTTTCTCACTTAAAATTCAATCTGCTTCTCTGGGGTGCATGAGCTTCAATGTAACTGGTCTCCATCAAGGCTTGTGTCAGCAAGCAGACTAATAAATTAAAGCAGCTAAAAACAACATATTAATACAGAACTCAAAAACACAAACAGAATAAAAGCATGAACTAAGTCAAAATTAATAATTTGGGGGGAAAATACACTGACGGGTAACAAAATTAAATGAAAAACATCATAGTCCATGAGTGAGGCTACATAAATACAAAACAAGGGAGGAGTTCAGAAGAGGTTCTCTTTCAAAGCTGGTGCTAGCAAAGCACTCTGATGGTGGTCAGTGGGTATATTTTCTTGGAGCACATTTCTACCGGGTTGTAACAGGTGGTTATCTCAATAGGATTGGAACAGTCAAGTACAGCCACAATTGGCCAGTGAAGGGATCGCAACCTGGGGACCCAGAAAGTGATCTTCACAAGTCCTTTTTTTTGATCTTCTCGCCATCTTTTCCACAGCATCGGTTGTATGCCTGGGTGGTAGTGCCCCTCCCTGTTTTTTTTTTTGTCTCTGCTTCACTGCGGTGGTGTCTCTCCAACCATCTCGATGCCGTGTTGCTGGAGTTGCGCTCGGAGCAAAGCATTCTCATTCTTCAACTCTTCAATCTTAAGAACAAAGGACAAAAAAAATCTCATCAACATCATCCCAGTAACAGCTTAATATAGCTCCAAGTTTATAGACCAAACTTTTTCATTTGAAGACAGAGAGTGCTGGCTGTTTGTAATGTACACACAGGGCTCTTCAATTCCTGGGATTAAAGAGTAGTATGTGCAGCTCTTTTCAAAGACACCCCTGTCCACAAGCAACTGGATTATCAAATCTTGAGGTATGTCATCGCTGCTACATTTCCCATGGGTGCATCCTGAATTCCCTGCCTTCCCACCGGTGGACTGAGGAAAGGATATTGAGCTTTGAGCATCAGAATAAGAATATATTGCTGAATGCCTTGCAGGCCTGGGACTCAATGGGGAGATGTGGCAGCTTCAGAGCTGCAAGATTTCACAATACTTTGAGTGCATTAGCATGCAGTTAGTTCTCACACAACCCCTGTGTATATTATTCCCACAGTCTCTCAAAGCGCTGATTTCAGGTAACACTTCTCATTATATGAGTGCAAACTCTCTGAACCTCTTTGTCAGGCTGTGATGATCAGTTATACAGGCTGAAGTCTCAGGGCATTTGTTTTGGAGTAATGAAGATGCATATGGGGCTACAAGGATTTCATGCTTCTGAGACTTAAGTGAAAGGATGCTGCAACACACTCTAAAGCAAACTAATCTATTCAATGCACAAGCAATCTTCATAGACACATATGCAGCCCACTATAGCCACCTTATTATATGTGACTTTATTTATCTGCAACACCCACCCACCTCAAAGGAACATTTTGACATTACCATTCATAGACCTTCTTTACCCATAACTGAAGTCCAAGAAACTTCACTTGATATTCATACCTGCTGCCTGCACAACTCATTGTCCACTTGTATCCTCTCCACTTCCTTCAGACTCTCCTGCAGTCGCTGGTTGCTCTGCCTCAGCTCACGGATGTAATCACAAGCTTTGGACAGGATGCCTCCTTTGCTCTAGAGGGACAGAGATGCCATCACAAAGTTGAATGGTGACCATTAAAAACAGAAACGTCAGTAAAAAGGTAGCAACCGTGTAGAGTCAAGTAAGATTGCTTACTGCTCCAGTCTTGGTGCTGTCCATACTGCAGTCTGGGATGATCTTGGAAAGCGTGACAATCCAGTTGTTGATCTTGTCTCTTCGCCGCCGCTCAACTGATGGAATGTTTAGAATAAAAACAAGTGAGAAAAAAAATTAAATAAAAATATAAAAATACAAGCAGCATTTTCATTTCATTTTTCATTTCCTAGATTTCGTCATTTCATTGGGTGCACTACAGGTACCAAATACTGCATGACTATGACAGCTCAACAGCAACCTCTGGTGGCCAGTTCGGAAACATATATTATTATCTATTCCTAGAATATTTTGACAGGGCATGGTGATTTTATTTCAACAAAAACGCCGCATTTAGGCACCACGCTGCATTGTGTTGCACCGTCTGATGAAATCAAAAGCCACAATCATAACTAATTACCCACCTTCATTATGTTGCGCTCTTCTCCTTTCATCTCTTGGTGTTCGCGGTCCATCCATTTTCCTACAGACAGACAGGGAAAAAACACTTTTCATACAATACAATATCTCCCATCTTTGACTACCCTACAATCAGACACAAATCCAAACCAACCCCCCAAATTCACCTAATCCTGTGCATATTAAAAACTATTCTTCAGTTATCTTTCAATTTAGGCCTTTTGTAATTACAGCCCTCACCACTACCAGTGCGCCTCTTAAACAGGAGCCTCTGAAGTTGTGTAGTGCCTTTGTTGGAATTACTGAAAGATGCACAGCCATATGAGGCCACAGATGCAGTCCTGAAGCCCTCAGTGGCCTGAAGCTGCGCTGCTTTGACTGGAATCCTGAGACCCGTCAAACCTTCTTATTCTTGTTGGCTGTCCTTCTCCCAGGTGTGGCCCATAGGGAGCTCTCTGCTTTATTATGCTGTTAAATTACAACATTGTAGAAAACCAGATGCTGTCTATTGGAGTCTGGGTGTATGGCTAATGACACAATTGTCTCTTGTCTCTGTGTCTTCCCTGAGGTATTCTGTTAATTAAGTCCCTGAGACGTGACAGGGAGACTTATCCAACCACCCACTACGACATGAACAGGCCAATAACACACTCACGTATAATTATATAGGTGGCCTACTGAATATTTCAACCATGTTCTTGTCTCACTAATGGAACAGACAATACTTAACTCACCCTATTTCAAATGAATCAATAAACAATGCAAACGAACAGAAACAGTGCAGAAAATATCTTTTCTACAGAAAATCTAGTAGGAAAAATAATGTAACATTTCTCGGATGCATTTCTGCTTGCTCATGGCGTAAAGTTTAATAATGTCCTGTAAGGTCATTCTTGTTCCTTGTCGGTCCCTCTACGACACATCTTTATTCTACAGCAGTGAATTTGCGACCCATCAACACAACTCGACTACTGATATCTCCGTTTGAGATAGTCAGCCAAGCCAAACTGCAGTCTCTCTTGTATCTCAACGCATCTTAATGGGATTTCAGCTGTATAATGGATTCAGCCCAACAGTACTCTTCGGCAGAGTGTAAAAAAATGTGGATGACTGTATGAATAACTAAATGTACAGGCCTGGAGGAATGTCTTTTCCCCTCCCTTTCAGAACTTAGAGGCCCAACTCATTTAAGTGCTCCCGAGAGTTATTGTTGCCAGAGAAATCAGAATAGTAGCAGTACACAACCCCACCGCTGAAGTGCTTTATTCATATAATTTAAAGCATGGATGTAGAAGAGGACTAAGATTGTATATTCTTATATTGATCCTCGAAAGAGAAATGCAATTGTCACTCCTTCTGCACTCCCCTTTCATTAGGCTAGGTGTTAAACCAAGCTGGGGCCTGGACAATGAGTCAGTTAAGTGTACATTGAGATACAAGTGACTGCACCTTGGGCTTGATATTCTCGAAATGGATGATATGAGCGAAGATGAGCCTTAGTGACATATAACCACTTATGTGCAATTAATTATGTGGAGGAGATATGGTGAAACTGGCAACACATTGTGTTCAATAACGTTGTTTCTCCCAATATTAATTCCAGTTTATAAAAACCTCAGTGTCTAATTAGTTTTAAAACTAACTTATTCAAAACTAGGCTAGATGAGAACAAAACTCAAACAACTAAGACAGAGGACACTTTGAAAATGATACTAAAATAAAGTGTGGAGCAAGCCATTTGTTTCCAGATGGAGAACAATGACCTCATTTCTAAGTCCTAATGGAGAAATACATTCGCCACAAGCACAACTAACAACAATGGATCAGGGTCAGCACTGAAGAAATGCTACATCTGTGTCTCACACATCAAGAGCAGGAAGAATCACCAGGGACTTATGAGAGGGAGGGAGGGGTAGAGAGGAGAGGAGGGCAGAGGTTTGTGTGCTTCTTCTCTCTTCTTGTGATTTCATTTGATTAGTTCATTTGCTGTAAAAAAATAAAAAAGGAGTGTGGGAGAAATGTGGAAACTGTCCTCACCAGTTTAAACCTTCATGCTGCAGCAGCTCGTTTTCCTCTCTGCGAACGGCAGATAGGGTGGCAAGTTTTCATTCATTTTACTCACAAATCAACGATTATGTCACTGTTCATTAGTTTACACTTGAATATAACTGAGGCTTGTGTCAAAAATCATAAATTATTCATGGGAGAGGAAATTAATAGAAACAAACATTGCAGATATGCATTCTGAGAGACGAAATAAACAATTCACTTTCAACACATGGCAATGCAGACGTACACTGCAATAAAGATTGTGCTTTACTCTTGACTGGAATGCAGTCTGTTGTACACTGTGAATATCAAGCAACATCACAGACGGCAGAGCTGCTGCCAAATTTAGGGCGGATCTAGAACTCCCCGTAATGCTGCCCACAACAAAGGAGCTTAAATCTGGGAGACATCGGAAGTTCTTAAAATTCACAGAAGCAGTCAACTTACTAGTTGTCGAACTGTATACTGTATATACCCAAAGTGACAAATGATAATGATGCAAGGCAGAGACAGCTACTAGTGTGGTGCCTCCTGTTTGTGTGTGTTTTTTTTTAAATAACTATCATAATGAGGAGGAAAACGGGAGCTTATGGGCTACCTAGCACAACCAGTGTTAATATGGTATGTCATGTCAGTTTCACGAGTTAAAGGTTAAGTTAAAGGCCTGTTGGAGAATGGAGGAATATTCACTTAGGTCGGTGCTAACTCAATTTGATAACGGGTCATGTGTTCATTTTGGGTGACCAAACGAGCAAATGGCTGTGCTTTGGCTTTTACTAAACCCTGGACAAAACAGTTACATGAACTTAAATAAAACTGCATCCTTACTCATGGCTCATGTGTTTTTGGCACTTAAGTGAACCCAGAATGTGAAATAAAGCTGGCTGGAATTGCTTTTCTGAATGATGTATTTGTGGTAGGCCAGAACCAGGCTGGTATCATGCAATGAAGATGACAGCTCAGTTTGTCTTTGCTTAGGTGAGCCTGCTGATTATCTTAATAACAGCAATCACCAGCATGGAGCTAACAGTTGGAGAAAGTCTGAGATGGATCCCTTTTTTGTTGCATGATTATAATGATGCATGTTGTGAATTTTAGAGATAAATAACATAAGAAGATTTTGGAAGAAGGAGCAAACAGGCCAACCAGGCTGGGCTAAAATAAAGATCCTTGATATAAAAATCAACCTTCACAGCAAACTCAGGAGAGAGATGAGGAAGAGTCCCTGGGCAGACACACAGTCTGTGGTAAACGTTAAAGACAACTACCGTAGGACTTTGTTTGCATAAACTGAGCCTCATGGTAGTTTAAATAGGTTTGTTAAATTGTTTTGTAGTCACACAACCATGTAAGATCCAATCATTGATCTACCAGATCGATCTCAAACAGCTAGACATGCCATATAAACAGGTTTTGGTGCTCTTTCTCTCTGCATACACATCCGCTAAAAACCACATCCCTGCCCATTTCCCAGCAATTGAACTCCCACCACTTCCCCACCCTCCCCGTGCATTAGCATTTAGATTTAAATGAATTCAGCATGCCTTGTTCACTCAATATGTGTTGATGTTCATTTAAATGTTGTGTATCTTGGGCTTTGCAGGGTGGGGTTTCTTGAAGTGAAATAAGTCTGTGTCAAGCTTGTACAGATTTGTTCTGCAGCGTCACAAGAGCAGACCCACTCTGCCAAATGCGTTCTAAAGATTCTAAAATCTAAAAGTTAATGAACAGCTGCGAATGGGTCTGAACATTAAACATTTAAAAAGCAATTTGCCCCACTTTTAAACTTTAACCAAAATTTACAACTTCAAACTTCAACTGAGCAATTCACAAGTTGTCTGCTGAAATCACAGAGTGGCATTTATATGCAGGATAAAAACAGTGTTTTACAAGAACTGACGTTTGTTTTCAGAAATAGCTGTGTCTCAGACTGCAATATCAATCTTGTCTCCTTTTCCCAAACAGCAACTGATGGAGCTGATACTCACGCGGGGTAGGGCTGTGTGCGGGGTGCGATGGTTCGTGGAGTGCCTGTCTGAATTACATCAGGGGGGGTCATCATCACATAAAACTGACCTGTGGAAGGCATGGGAGTTATCAGTTATCAATGAGGAAAAAGACGTGGCATGAAAGACTGGGTCTTGTTGCTCTAATGAAATCTCTCAAAGCAAATAAGAGTGTATTCAATATTTAAAAAATAACCTCATGGGCGCACGCAAAATAATGTTTACACTGCTGGAAGCCTTCTCTCTCATGTAAAATCAACACAGACTGCCAAGACTCCCTTTCTCCCAGCCCCTGAGACATTCACAACAAAGCTTGAAATATATAATTGAATGCTCAATGCACATAGTCCACTGTAAGGCATGCAGAAACTGTGCCTCTCAGCGCTGCTTCTGCTTATTTTCAATGCATCAGCCCAACAATTAAGGTCCCTTTACACAAACCCATCCCCAGTAACACCAAATAGCAGGGCATGTAATTCCTTGACACAGCCACAACACATCAATGGGGCTCATTAGTTTCAGATCTCCAAACAGCCTGTAGTTTATCCATTTAAAAAAAAACAACAACAAATAAACAACTTATGATGAGGGACTCCTGTGCCCAGCAGCTCTATTCTGCACTTCAATATCTATTAGCTCATTTTGTAAAAATTGAGTTTACAGTGTCGTGAGCGCAGCAAGAAACATTAAATGTTTGGATTCATAAAATCCAGGTGAAAATCTGTTCTATCTGACATGCTCCTTTTAAAAAAAATAATAATAAAAAAGGTGGATGAATACTGTTGAAAAAAAACATGATGCTTACACACAGTCAACACTTAATGTGACAGAAAGGTCAGGCTCTTCCCGCCCCTGGATCCAGTCTTGCAAGAATGTGGTTCATTGCCAGAGCCTAGTGCACTATCTTCCACTATCCCTCACCTCATAGGAGATGGCAGTTTGTGAAGTACTCTCCACCTACACCCTACAGTGCACTCCTCAGCCAGTATGTCATGCCTGCTTAAACTGCCCCAGGCTCAGAGAAGATAAAGACAGCAGCCCACTTCCTCCTGCAAGGCCCTGGCTTCAGCCGTAACCCACAGCAAAGAAACCTCTTGTTCTTCTCCTCCTTCTGTTTCGTCAGCAGGCAGCCACTCACAACACTCAAAAAAGAAAAACCACACCAAACGCCCAAAACCCTGCAGTTTTTGTCGTTTTCTTCTGTTGCACCTAGCGTATATCACACATGTTATAATTGAGGTGCGTCAATTGGCGCCTGACTTCTCTGGGTGCGTGTCATGTGATGTAAGTACAACACACAATGAACGGCTGGAGAAAGAGAGAGACAGGCGGGGTGTGTGGATGTGCTGCATTAGCTTAAAAGGCCTCAGTAATGGATTGAATAGAATTTTAAAAACCTACTAGAGCGAAGTTGATCAAAAAACTCAAAGATTCAGGGACGGCTCCCTCCTTGAAGGAACATAAAATAACCCCGTATGAACCGTGATAGTGCCTGGGCATTGTTCTTTTCAGAGAATGACTGAACTATAGTGCTTAGCTGGGAAAGATGTTCTGAGTTTATGAGCTAAAACTTAAAAATAGAAGCTTTAAAACTACCAGGCAGGGCAGATGGTATATTACTATGAATCGTTGAGTGCCGTGTCTTCGTACTTGGATTAAATTTGTGTAGCGTAACAAACATGGTTTATTATCCATTATCCATTTGTTTTGTGGCCAGCTCTTCTTTACCCTGCGTGTGCCTCAATAGAGCTGCAATGAGTCACATTTTCTGTTAATTGCCTAATTGATTAATCTGCAATTATATGGATAACTGATCAATTGTTTCCATTTTTCCAGCAAAAATGCCAAACAGCTTCTGGACACAGAATGCCAGAACAAGCAGATGCTGGTTGTGTATAACAGAGCCAGAGAGCTACAATCTGCTCTCCAGGTCGACCAAGCCCCGAACACCCTCACTGACAGGCACATTTACGCCTGGATCACTACCATGTAACCACAAGGACAGTTAGCACAGCCAGGGGACGACATATGGCAGTAAAGAGGAAGAGAAGTAGAGTGGGTGGACATGTGACATGAAGCAAACAGTAAATATGATCAGCGTGACTAATTTCATTTAGGCCTCTGATAATATTTGTCTTGTGTCATTTACGAACTGTTACACGAGGCGCATTCTAACCATGGCAACAATGTTTTGCACATATTACTGAGTAAGGAATCTTCTATTAAACAAAATACGTTGATGGATTTGACAGAAAATCTTTAATTATTCAAAAGTGAGCAAAACCTTAGTGTACAAAAATAGCTGAGGCATTGTAGCGGGAAACTCTATCCACCTGTATCACAAATCATATTTCAATTACAGTACCCAACAAAATGGACAACATAATTTATGATCTACAGTACTTTGTATGGTCCAACTTTGTTTCAAAACAGCCGAAGCTGTGGGTTCATTTACAAATACTGTTATTCTCTCATTACGGTAGTCCTTAATACTCTCCCGTTTGTCTTTCAAAATAATGGCTAAATTAGCCACATAGCACTGTGGTAAACTTCATCCCAAATTAAGCGTGAGAACTGACTTACCCCCCGCCTGTGTGAGTGTGGGGTCCGTGGCAGCCTGCACAGACACAGTTCCGTCGCTCACCGCGGTTGCGGGGAAGTAAGCGAAGCGCGTCTCCCCTCCCACCGCCTCTCCTGCTGGGCTTCCTCCATTACTGAAAGGGTTTTGGATCACAGCCTGTGACCGATAAGAGAGACAGAGGAGAGCTTGAACAAGTAGCAACGGAGCAGTCACAGCAGGTAAACGCACACCTCAGTCTCTGTCAGACTCAATAGTGGTCTACCCTCTAGACCCCCAAGCAAGACACAGTGCTGTTTGACAGCTGGGATAAAAGGAGGAAAAAGAAGTAGCAGTGATCTTGTTAGCAAAGATAACAGCAAGGTCAGCAAAGCCATCAGTATACTGCAAATGAGAATAAACTCTGGTCTGTTCTTGCGGGAAAAATGGCTTGTTCTACTTTTAATGTAAACATTGCCATACACAAATTCACAACTGCATTTAAAATCTCTGTGAGCAGCTCTGTGTCTGACAGACATCATGCACTTGCTTCGCTACTACTACTGCTGCTGCTTTGCTTGTTTGCAAGCTCAAAGGAATTACCTACACTTGCAGCTTTAATCACAACACAGGGATATGTCACTTAGTACAATAGTGTCTCTTACACATATTTGTTATGGTGTAACAACATTGGAGTTTTATAGCATGAATGACATTAGGCTGTGTCTACAGTACTTATTAGCAGGATAAATTCATTATTGGTATTAACAAGGGGAACTGTTGGAATAATAAAATGCTGAAATCTCACTGACCTTATCCCTGAAGACTGTGGCATTAGTACTTACAGTCTCAAGCATGCAGTTAGACTTAAAAAAAGAGTCCATATTACCAGAGGGTTCTCTAAGATAAATAAAAAAAGGGACAGATTTTGATACCTGAGCCACGGCTTGAGGAGCCCCGGCGAAGGCGGCTGTAGAGACGACACTCACCGCTCCTCCCCCATCATCTCTTCCGTCAAGGTTCTGGTCAGTCACCTGAACAACACGATACGTCACCTGCAAGAAACAAAAGTAAAAGAGAAGGAGAAAAACTGAGAAATCAGGTGTATTTTATGTCATTTACCCTATGGCCGGTGTACCATACCCAGATCAAAACCTTACCTGAGTTGTAGATTTGTTTATCATATCTATTGCTTCAGTTCAGCCAAGCCTAGTATCTGCCACTATAGTCCTAATCTCAGTAGTGTGTGGATATCACTGAAGCGCAAGCATATTGTGCAGGATGTAATATGCTTATGCTTCAGAATGTGCTTGATTCAATTTTAAAAACAAGTCAAGAAAATGAGCCTGTTTGTTCCAAGAATCAGTATTTGTATTCCTCCATCATGTGACTCTCCTCCTGACTGACATGTGACAGCAGCCCCATGCCAATCCCAGACCAGACTGGAATCACATGATCGCTCACACTAGCCCTGTTTACGCCAAATTAGCCACATGGATCACTGACTTAATTCCCTCCAGTGTAAATCGTCCGAATACGGATAAACCAACTTGAGTGGCACACTACTTTTTCTGTTTATTTATTTGCATCGCTGTCCCTTTGTCAATCACTGACCACCGCTGGAGTAAATACAACCTTTAGTGGATGGCAAGGAGATGGTTTTTGACAAAGGCCACCAGTCAATCATGGGACTAGAAAAAGAAAAACACACATTCATAACTTTAGGCAGTTTAGAGCCTGCTATCCTCCTGACTTGTCTTAGGAATAGGAGAGGGAGCCTAAGCCTCCAGAGAAAAACACACAATAACGTAAAAAGAAAACACAGCCTGACACAGAAAACACTGTTCATGAGAGGAACACAGGTTTTTTTCTCTCTGAGGTAAAAGTGCTTACACTAAAACACTCAAGAAACCTGAATCACAGAGTACTCAAAATAATAAATACATAACTGTGTGACATGACATGTTGTTTACTGCTCTATGCATACTACATTTATCAATATGCAATGTGAAGCTCTGGCAGGTGCCAATTATGTCTTTGCACAAACACCACTTGGATGTTGATTCAACCTGACATCTAAAGTCATTTGGGGAAATTCTGGTTTCCTGTTGGGGGTGCTGAACAGATGCAATCTTAGCCTGAAAACCATGCACCTGCATAAAAACAATCATGAGCAGGGTACAAATCCATACATTAGTTACTTACCTGACCACCCTCAGTGCGAAACTGATACTGTATGTTATGGTCACCAAATGCTGCAGCCTGCTGAACACTGGCTATAGTAACAGCTGTCTGCTCTTCTCCTGTTCCGTCTGAAGGGGAAAAGAGGACAGAAAAGCCAGCTGTGAGAATGAAAAAGAAGGAAAACGACTAAAAAATAAAAAAAAACAGCTACCAATCCCCGAGTAGAGCTGCAGAAGAAAACAATACAACAAGATAGTTTGCCAAGGATGCTAGATTTTATTATACACAATCTATGTTTACGTTATTGTGGCTAGTATACACAATGCATACACCACTGCTGTTCCAGGTGTTGTCAATGACAGCTCAGTGGATAAATTATTACCTTCAGATGTGTGGACAACCTCTTCTTCTTGCTTTTCTTGGCTGCAAATCAGATGCAGAAAAAAAAAAAACTTAATACGTGACTGTTCTGGATATAAAAATAAATGCAATTAGTGATCTTAAACTGTGCCTTAACTGGCGGAAAAGCTGTGCAAGAAGCCAGTCAACAAACAACAGCACAATCGCTAAGTAAAACACAACATTGCTACTGTCCTCAGGTTACCTACAGAGGCTGACAACACAGTTGTTTGTGTTTTAATAGCGAGCCTAAGCTAACGTAGCTGTTTTATTGCCATTCGCTAATTATCATCATGTCATTGGTCTCCTACGATATAACTAATCAGCTGCACAGCCGTACTCCCACTTCTCTTGCTACCTTAACCTTTTGAATTCACTATTAACAACTTGTTTTTTTTTTTAGGTCAGGCCTCGGTTAGCGTCGTAAAGCAGCTATCAGAAATAGCATGTTGTGGCTAGCCTGTCTCAGTTGGCCATTTTGGTCGGTTACCTTGCGGTGTCCAAACTCTGTTCGAGCATATCCATCAGTGTTAGTATAAAAAGTGATATTCGGTGTCACAGACGGAGATGGAAGTGCTGATCACGGGAACAAACACTCGGGTCATGTGAGAGAGACAGCCCAGGACACGTGAGGTATGGCTCGGCGTCGGAGTTAAAATGGAGGCCGCTGGCTGCTGCTGCTGCTGCTGCTGCTGCTGCCCGCTGGGTGAACCGAGCTGACTCCGCTTCAGTCAGCTGTGTGCAGCTCAGTGGGGACCGCAACACCTTCAAAGTCTATTTCTACCGCCTGTGGACACTATATGTTGGTTGCCTGAAGAGAGAGGTGGAGAGAGAGAGAGAGAGGTGGAGAGAGAGAGAGAGAGAGAGAGTGGGAAGGACAGAAAGTCTCACAAACAAACCAAATATTTAATCTTTTATTGTCCTCAGGGTAATACATGAAACAAAGTGAAGCGTTTGTAGGCTTTGACACATGCACATTATTATTACTGATCCCCAAAAGACTTGAGGTGCCTTGCAGAATGCAGTGTCTGCATCCCAAAGCTCTTTTTAATGTTAAGGTCTTTTTCCTGCTTTACTTTTTACCGCTGTTTCTCTTCATAACCTTGTCAGTCACTTTGTAGTGTTTGTTTGTTTTTTATAATTGTGAAGTTTATTTTCGAGGGAAAGTCAACTTTTCCAGCAACACTTAAAAAGCAGTTTATGTACAGTCAGTGTGCCATCCTCAAGGGTGCTTTAGTCAGTGGTGGAATAAATCCTCTTTAAGTAAACAGTAGTGGTACCGCGCTATAGAAATACTCAGCTTAAGTTGAGGAAGTTAATGCAGGACTTTTACTTATAATTAAGTAACAGTACAAAAATATTACCAGCAGAATATACTCAGTGTATTATTTTTCTGACGCATAAACAGTGCTTTAACTGGTTGATGATGACTATAATGCTTTAGAATAAAATCTTGATCTGAAAGGTAAGTGGGTCAAATAAATGTAGTTATAAGATAAAGTAAGTATAAAATAGCATAAAATGAAATTACTCCAGTTAAGTACCTAAAATTGTTTATGTAGATAGATAGATAGATAGATGTAGATAGATAGATAGATGATAGATGAGTAGATAGATAGATAGATAGATACTTTATTTATCCAAGGGAAATTAAGCATCCAGCTAGAGCCATACAAAACATTACCATCAGATACATTAAACATACAATTTTTTTTTTTTTTTTTTTTTTTTTTTTTTTTTTTTTTTTTTTTTTTTTTTTTTTTTTTTTTTTTTTTTTTTTTTTTTGTTTTTTTTTTTTTTTTTTTTTTTTTTTTTTTTTTTTTTTTTTTTTTTTTTCTTTTAAATTAAATTAACCTAATAACACAGTAGCCGATACATTAAATTTAACCTTGAGGATAAATGCTTAAGAATTTAAATTAAAACCTGGTGGCTAAAATATTAAAACATTTGCAGGGAAATTGGGACTTTTGCAGCGAGGATTAAATATGTGCAGAGAAATTAACCATTTGCAGAGAAATTAAACATTTGCATATGTGCAGGTAAATTAAGTGTTTAGAGGTAAAGCCTGGCTAACATCTATACAAATAGAAAACTATACAAAAAGTAAAAGTAGAAATAAAATAGCTTTTATAAAAATATGAAATAGAACTTAGTTACTTATAGTTATAGTCCACCAATGGCTTCAGCAGCAGGGGTTTGGTGAGGGATTTGGACTGAGGGTACATTTACTTTATTTATTAACTAACACACTGATTTGCCAGTAGGTACAAATAGCTCATACAGTGTATTACAACAGCTACAACAGGTCATAATGTTCTGTTTTGTTGAAACTGAGGCGTTGATTCAACATTATGGTCATATCAGAGGCTCTAGCTTGTGGTGTTGTTGAATTGTTTAAGGAGATTTATAATATTCTGTACACTATTTAATGCCAGTGAGGATATACTAAATATTAGAAATACTTCTCAGTACAACACAATACAATTTAACAGCACCTAAACAACAGCCTCCATTAATTTTAATCAACATCTCTCATAGACAGTTTCAACAATAGCTGAACATTCGTGATACATTATATTATTCATTTATTGCAAGTCATTTCAGATGAATGTTTCTCCCTATATCTCTCTACATTGAAATTATATTATGTTTAAAGTGGTGAAAAAAAGCAACTGTCGGAGGCTCCCATACATCTCCAGATTAATTTTTCTCCCGTTCCCTCTCTGTGTTTGCATAAATAAAAAAATAAAAAAAAACAATTTACAAAACAAGAAAGGGAACAACAATCAATTTAAGGCTGAAAAAGAAAAATGGAAAGAGCAAGGCAAACACAAATATGTTTTGGCATATGCACAAGAAACCATTGAAATAAAAGATTTACCAATATGCTGTTTTTACACGTCTCTCCACTTATCTTTGATATTAGAAGACATGTCATAATAGCCAGACATAATGAAAACAAAATCATAAACTGTGAGGTTTCCCAGTCATACTCATGTGTAACCTGAAATATGTCATTTGAAGCTGAAGGAGGGTGACCAGGTGTGCCAATTTATGTAGGACTGCACAGAATTTGTATCCCTTGTCCCATGTCCCACATACTGAGACGATGTCCCACATTTCAAGTGGCTCTAATCTTCAAAAGTCATATCACTGCAGGGCGGATGCTTTTCTAAAATCTGATTTTTTTATTTTTTATCAAATGGCTTTAAAGAAAGCAGTATGTGTCATCACAAGAAAAACAAAAGATAAGGAAATGCAGCTACAATAAAGACTGGGAAACTACTTGTAACTGGGTGAAGCTGGTGAAAGGTGACTACCGCAGAACATCCCATAAGACCATATGAACTGTGAAACTTTAGCTTCATTTTATGCTTACAGTATTTATTTTCATGGGAGTTGGGAAAGTTGCATTCAAATAAAATATATTTGTAACACATGCTAAAGCCCTAACCTGTAACCTGTTTATTGTCAGAATAAGAAATGTTATTTAAGTTTACAGGGACAATATAAACATTTATCTCTCAGCATTGGTAACGTGTAAACACACTGTCCTACACAAACATACTCTCTGTGGCACATTTGTTTTGTGGCATCTGTTGGTCACCCTAAGCTCAAGTGACTTGACCGTCATTATGTCACTCTACTCTTCGCCGTGAACTTTGTCCTACTGAAAGCGGAACCTTTCTTCGCCCGGTTTTGTTTACGACCCAGATATGAGGAGCACCACATTATTCACAGGTGATTTGTCGTAATTCCCGCAGTTCGGGCATTTAAAACAATCCGCCAATCGACAGTGGGCACTGAGATGCAGTTAAAACGCTTCCCCAAAAAACCCTAAATACGTTTGATCTGTCATTCACTCACTGAAACCATGGCACCGACTGATTATCTCTGCTGAATTTAACAACGGCTTCAAGCGCGTCTCAGCCAATCGGTTTAGAGAACGTTCAACTCTGACAGCCTCTGATTGGCTAGAAGGGTAGGCGGTCCCCTCAGCTTCCTCCCCTGGTATCACCCTAAAATAATTCCGACCTCTCCTCAATGGTTGAAGGTTCATTGCGGTGACTCTTTGACGTTAGTCCTCTGCTACCACTGCCCGGTTCAACGTTTCAGCTACAATGTCTGGCCGTGTTCTCGTTGGAGTTAAGCGGGTCATTGACTACGCAGTTAAGGTAATATCCCTCTGTTGCTTCAATGGGCGTATGTAGGGTTTTTAATTCATGTTTTCTGTGCTCACTCGCTTGACTTTCTGGGTCCTGCTAGCTAACGATAGCTTTTCTGAGGCCAGCTGGCTGTGGCAGAAGAGCAAATGAACTTTCTGTTCATATATTGGATCTGTAAATGAGCCACATAACAGCAGTCTGCAGCAAAACCCATATTGCTCTCACTTTACAGGATGCAGCATGGATATTTTTGATTATTGCAGTGTATGACTTCTTGTTAGTTACCTGCATGGTTGATGTTTTGCAAGTTGTGTAACCTAATGTCTGGCTGAACATGCCAACTGTCTTGTTATTGGTTATAGGGCTCCCCCCCCCCCATCTTAAACGAGTCTGTAAGAAAATCAGTCATACAGTTAACCTCAATAACCTTAATAAACCTTTATATTGTATCCTAGAGATGAAGCACAACGCCACAATCAATATCTATTATCAGCTGTTTCCTGTAACAGCAGGGACACTCCTGCTTCAGCTGCCCCCAGCAGGATCTGCACAGTTTCAGCGCTCAGTACTGACACACATCTGCAGCTTTCTTCCCAACATTATCAGGCAGACGACCGAAATAAAACGTGTCAGGATTTAACTTACTCACCGTTTCTGTGGTTTGGAAAATACACACCTTTGCATGCTGTTACGTCTTCTGTCAGTATATCATTCTGTGATGTTAACTTATATTTTTAGCCTTTAGTTTAATATACTGATCCGGCTCAATTGTTGCGAACATTTTAGACTATAATTATTCTGCATATGTAAAGCTATATGATACAAGTTCACAATATGGCCAGAAGTATACGGACACCCCTTTTGTGTTCTTTTTGTCTGCTGTTGTTTTTCAGTGTTTTTTTTAACTTTAGTTAGTTCAGTTTCAGGGGAATCTTAAAGCTGCATCATACATTGCCAACAAACAGACAATAGTATGCTTCCAACTTTGTGGCAACAGCTCGGGGGAAGGCCCACTTCTGTCTGAGCTCTGACCTCAACCACACCGAATGCCTTTGTCATGAATAAGGTCATGTACCAGGCCTTATCGCCCAACATCAGCGGCAGCACTGGACCTCTCTCTATTAACCTTGTGACTGAATGGGATCAAGTACCAGCCTGGTTCCAAAATCTGTTATAGCACCAATCAGTGCTCACTGTTTTGGATACTTTGGATGTCCACATACTTTTGGCCAAGTAGTGTATCGCCTGAACAGAACAGAACAGTATGCCTCTAAACGCGAGACCTTTTTTCCAGATGAAATGTTTACTGCCCTTAGAGGATGTTCTTCTTTATAATTGTCCAACAGTAAAGCACTGAGGAGCAATAAAAAGAGGAGAGGCAATACCCTGCTGGCTCACTCCCTGTGTGAGCCTGTCATCATGTCTGACAGTGTGCCCTAGAATCTGGATTGTTTGTCATCTGGCACCCCTGTGGTGACTCTGTCCTGCGGGTCTTCTTCTTCCTCCTCAGATTCGCGTGAAGCCGGACAACAGTAGTGTGGTGACGGATGGCGTTAAGCACTCAATGAACCCCTTCTGTGAGATCGCTGTGGAGGAGGCGGTCAAGCTGAAGGAGAAGAAGCTTATTAAAGAGGTTGTAGCTGTCAGCTGCGGGCCACAGCAAGTACAGGTGGGTGAGACGGGGCCAGACTCTGCACCCCCGCCTTGTTAACTAATGTCCTGGAGAAATACAGTGTGGTCTTGCTGCTGGCCTACTTTTGGATGGGTTCTTTCTATTCTTTTTATATATTTTTTTTTTTGTTGCGCTTCAGCTTTATCTTTAATAATCTTTTGGCGGAATCATGCTGTAATGAAGTGTTCATTTAATGTGACAAATACTAATTAAAAGATGAATGATATATAAACAATTGGAGAGTAATAATTGAAGATTACTTATCATTTTTTGCCTAATCAAGCAGTGCAATTGGATAAAAATCACTTTGCTTTTTTAATGTGTCATTGCCTGCCTGTGTTGCAGATATCATAAAAAAAAATATTTCACAATAACTTATGACAGGCCTTGCCAATATTTACTTAATTTTTTTATTTAAATCAGTTGTTGGAATCCCATAAACAGTCATACTTAACATACGAAAGGAGGTATTGTGCACGGTACTAAAGTAGTTATTGTTACATTTGTTGATATGGAGATAAATTAAAATTGGCAAATTTTAATTTGGGCGCAGCACCATCGAATTATTTTAATTCCCCTTAATACAAGTTCCCGACTCATATTTCTCCGTCACTTAGGAGACGATCCGCACCGCCCTCGCCATGGGAGCAGACCGTGGCATTCATGTGGAAGTGTCTGGGAAAGATTATGAAAACTTGGGACCGCTGCAGGTCTCCAAAATCATGGCTGCATTGGCCAAGAAGGAGGAGGCTCAACTCGTCATCCTTGGCAAACAGGTTAAAAATAAAAAACCCTCTACTCTCCTTTAAAATCAGATCACACTTTCTGCTCTCATCCTGTGAATACTCAGGTCTTGCTCTACTTTTACGTTCCTTTAATGACTTGTGTTGCTTTTATAGGCTATTGATGATGACTGCAATCAGACTGGCCAGATGACAGCGGCATTACTGGACTGGCCTCAGGTGAGTTCTAACTCTCATGCTGTTGAACTATGAACAGTCCATTTTGACTCCAAAAATGGTCAGATTACTTCGCTTACTCTCTTTCCCCCCCCCCCC